GTTTATTGTAATTAGTACTAGAATTATAAGGTCCAAACAGTTTTTAATGACTTAACCAAATCCAGGTGTTATTGGCAAGCTGGAGCTCTAGAAATCTCTTCCAGTCTCAGACCAGCATTTAGTTTCATCCCCCATGATGTCTATCTTTGTAGCCTTCAAAATGCAACTCATCTAGTTGGGGAGAAAATTTTGCATGTGAAATAATTAAAGAATGGAAAAGCCTACAGTCAAACATAAATGGAGCAAAATCAGATTTGACAATGTATGGAACAGAAGGAGGTGCTGCAGTTGCTCCACCCTTCTTTAACATCCCTGCCTGTGACTGGCAGTGGCCCTGTAATCTTTGTAATCACTAGAAGACACCTAAATCTTCAGCCTCAGAAACTGAACGTAGTATCCTGAATAGGCCAGAATTTAAGTGACATCAGAGAAGTCATTTAGCCCTTGACAACTTTTATTCCACAATTTGCAAAAAAAAAAAAAAAAAAAAAAGGATACAAAACCACTATTAGCTAAAAAGCACAGTTATATATGTCTCATTGGTGTTTTATATCTGTTAGAAGAATATGACCATTTACTTAAGTGCATGTCCTTTCCTAGTACACAGTTGAATACAAGTCTCTTAGGTCTATTGATGTCTGGGAAGATGTATCACATATCCATTGCACAGTTTCTGTGTTTTTTCCTGACAGCATAGTCTAGGCCTCCATACCCTATCTCTAGGACTCCTGCACCATTATTCCCCTTGCAGAATCTGAGCCCCATTTCATGCATTCTGTGTGCTATTGCCACATGAATGCTCCTCAGATTTAACCATTATCTCTTCCCTACCCAGAAATTGTCCTCAGTGCTTCCTGCTTCCAAAGTTAATATGCTAAAAGGCCTCCTGTGTTTTTTCCTCTGCTTCTTTAGCCCTGAGCGTGATCCGAGGTGCAGTGTTAGTATCTCTTCTTCTGAATCAGTCTGCTTTCATCCTACAAGCCAGTGAGATCTGTAATGCCTCAGAACTTTCCAACACATTCTCTGTATTTCTCCTCTGAGATTTAGCATAGTCACTATTGTATTAGATATGCAGGTATTACTTTAAGTTTCCTCTTAGTCTGTAAACCTTCTGGGGACTGAGGCACCATATGTCTTTTTATTTTCTCAAGTTTAAAGCCAGTTCTTTACAGGAGAGTAAGAAAGACACAGGTCTTTCTTTACAGTAAGAAAGGCACAGGTCAGACATCCTTATGTTTTAATACTCTTTCTTTTTTGACTTTTCTGTTATGAAAGGGGGGTGATTTCATCTAAGTCTAAAGCTTAGTGCTCCTCATCTAGAAAATGTACTTTCCTGAATGGGTTGTTTTGAGGATTCAACTTGGTGTTATAAGTAAAGTGCTTATCAAAATATGGCTTCCCAAGTACTCAGAAAAACCTGCCTACTGCCTCCTTCTGGAGTTCTTCATTACCTGTCAAAGGCTCTACCTGATCTCCAGAAGGGAGGCAGGGAGAATGCCCCGCCCATTGCAGGGACACTCTGACAGAGACCCCTAACCCTCAGGTGTGAGGCCTTCTCTTTGGCCCTAACAGTACCACTGAGTCAGAGTCAATCCCAATAAGCTGGCCCTCCTGCATGGATGTCTCCTGGTGAGGACCTCCTCAAGGAGGCAGAATTTGGGGCTGTGCCTCATTAGGATTATCTAACCCAAATTGTGAGAGTCATTTGCATTTCAGAAATTTAGCAATGTTTTAAAATTCATCACACACACAAAACAGTTTGCGAGGCTCTGAAGTTACTCACCAGAAGTCCAATAAGGCACTTTGCTGGGGCCTCCGGGTACCATTTGCTGCCTTACAATTACAGTGCACCAGGCAGTTCACAAGAAGTCAATATGGGGACTTGTCAAGGAACATTTATGTGGACTTACTTGTTTTTTGTCTGCGAGGCACACTCTATTTATGCATGCATTTTTCCTTGTTAAACTATTCTGGCTGCCTTGACATTTTTAAAAGATAATCAAGAGAAAAGACATTTTTCTAGGAGAGGTCACCCCATTGATAAGTGCTCAGTACAGGTGCAGCTAATGGCCGCCACTAGGGAGAAGGCCTCAGAGCTCCCCCTCAGTTTGGGCCAGGCCTTCTCACTCACGTCTCACTCTCTCTCTGCCTCCATGGGGATGATTCTGCCATTTCCTCTGTGCTCAGTATTGAAGCAGCTGAGGCCTCAGTTCCAAACTGAGATTTGTCACAAAAAAATAAACACAGACCTTTGACACTGGCTAGCCTTGTCTTTTTTCTTTAGTTATCAGAAGGTGTAACTCTGGACTCTAGACGGCCCAAAGAACCTGTTAGATGTACAGCTGCTAAGACCAGTAACCATGGCCTATTTCATATATATATATATATATATATATATATATATATATATATATATATATATATATAATATCATGGAATAAAAAAGGAAATAGTGCAAATAAATTTACTATAAAAAGCAAAGTATGAAATGACTAGCTACATTAGGTAGAACTCTGTTTACACTTACCGTCAAGCATAACCATTCGCTTTTGAACTAAAAAGTGTACGTGCATTTCAGTTTTCCACTTCTCAGCAATGACTGTCTTTATATAATGACAGTTATTAAAATTTAATCATTGCTATTAATCAAACGACTCAGTGTGTGTAGTCTTAGAAATTGTTATATTGCTTCATACCTTCTTCTGGTTCTGTATTTCCCTTATGACACCACAGTTCATCCAGTTTCCCAAGTAACAATCCAGGGAACCATCCCATTATTACCAACTTAACAGTCAACACATTTCCTTGATTTTACCCCTAAATAGCTGAGTCAGACTCCTCCTTTCAATCCTGACATTTAGACCCTGTCTCTATCTTACCTTACTTAGATGACCCCGGTGACCTCTGGCTTCACCGATTAATTCTTCAGCCACCCTCCATATCCCATTCCTGCGCTCATGGCTGAGTGATATTTCCAGATCACAAATGCAGATGTGATGATGGCATTCCATAAGTTGCTGGCTTCCCTGTGACTACTGGATAAAACTCAGTGCAGTCACCAATTGCTTTTGACCAGTGCTGACTGACTGCCTCCTAGTGTCAGGGATTATATTAGAGGCTGACAATATTACCCTACTGGGGTGTGATAAGTGCCTTAATAGCTTACAAACTTGAGATATGCTGGAGTTAAAGCCATGATCCTTTCAGAAACTACGAGATCCTTTGTGACTTGACCTCACCAACCCTTCTCACCCCATGTCTTATACACTCCATTACACCAGGCTGTCAGAAATCAAGTAAACATTTTCTGTTCTCTCACTTTTATGCTGTTTCCTCTATCTAGAAACTTTCCTTTTCTCTCAGTCACATACATTCTCCCTGTCCTTTCAACATCCTTCTCAGGCACAGCATTTTCTGAGGCCTTTTCAGTCCCTTCAATTTCTTATTCCCAAGCTGGGTTAGAAAACCACTTCTGTGCGGCCATATCAGTTTAGGAGTAACTCTATCAGCAGGCTTCTCGGGCTGACTTTGTTAATCTGCCAGGCTTCCCCTCTAGAGCTGTTTATGTGTGGGACCATATCTTTCATCCAACTTCTTTCCTTCCCAACTCAAAGTTCTTGGCAATAGCAGGCTCCCTATAATCATTTCTTGAATGAGAATACATGGTTCATGATGTTCCTAATTATCCTTTCTTCTGATGGATATTAACTTGTATTTAATTAATTTGTGTATCTACTTATATGGGCTTAACTGTACAGTATCCAGTGTATGTGTGCATCTATTGTTCCTGCTTGTGCATACTCATTCAAAAAATAGGTTTCTTGTACTAATATAGTGCGAACACTAATTTTACACAGTTTTTAAATCAGATTGGTAAATGTTATTCATTCAAAAATATTTGTTAAGCTGTTGTAGACAAGGAAATCACATCTCAAAAAGGATCAGCTCTGACATATTACCAAATTGAATCAGAGGTTGGCAAATTCTTCTAGGAAGGGCCAAGAGAATGAACATTTAGCTTTGTGGGCCATGTGGCCTCTGTTGCAGGTGCTAATTCTCTGGTGTTGTAGAGGCCCAGCATTCATAGACGTGTAATGAAGGCATATGCCAGAGATCCAGCGAAGCTTTATTTACTAAAACCATGGTTTGGAGCCATAACTTACAAGGTGGGACAAACCTGAAGGTAAAGATGCATGCAGGGCGCTCACAGACTAAGGAAAAATTACATATTCCCCATTGCAGAAAGCAGGGAATGGGTGGTCTAAAAGGATAGATTTGATTGCACCAAAGTTCAGAACAGAATTCCAAAATACAGATGAGAAGAAGCTGTCAGGATCAGACAAAGTCAGAAAAGCCCCAGGGACATTCTGAGTAGTTATTCAAGAAATGTTGATTACTCAGGAGGCAGAGCTCTGCAGGATTATAGTTCAAAACCAGACTGGGCAGAAAGTTAACAAGGACCCCCTCCCCTCCCTGATCTCACCAAACAAGCCAGGCATGGTGGATCATGCTTGTAATCCCACAGAAGACATAGGTAGGAGAATTGCAGCCCAAGGCCAGGCCCAGACAAAAACTTGAGACTATCCAAAAAATAACTAAAATGAAACAGTGCTGGAGACGTGACTCAAGTGGTGAAGTAACTGCTTAGCAAGCTCAAGGCCCTGAGTTCAAACTTCAGTATGACACACATAGCTGAAGACTAAAACATAAAGAGATTTTTATTTACAGCATCCAGGAATATTGTAACCTTGGTGACAGTTTACTATTACAAAAATAGAAAAGATGAAAGGTATGTTAGAAAAAAATAAGCCTTTCTGGTATAGACTATTTTTATTGTCAACATTCCTTTGAAGTCACTTTTGATCACTGATTATTTTGGATAAGTTTTCCAGATAAATGCAAAAAGAAAAACGTGTGAAATCCAACACTGAAATAGTTCTCATTGATCTATTCACAGAACATAACTGATGTTTCTTCTTTTTTTGTGTTTTTCATTCTAGCACCAATAGCTGCAGGAACTGGCCCTAATTTTTCTCTCTCAGATCTGGAAAGTTCTTCATATTACAGCATGAGTCCAGGAGCAATGAGGAGGTCTTTACCCAGCACATCCTCGACAAGGTAATGTGACTGGTGGCTCTTAAAGCGGCTGTGCCACAGAATGACATGCCTTGATTTTTTACTCCAGGCCTGCTCAGCATTTAGAAAGTACCTGTAATAATAGAAGATACCAAAGAAGTCATTTAGCCCCAACAAGCTATCTCATTGGGGAGACAGAGCAAATGCACATGAAGCAGCAAAAAAGTATGTACATACACACACACACACACACACACATGCACACACCAGACAGTGAAAAACAGGCTAAGTTGCACACCACAGGCTAAAAATGGTAATAAAGGCTCAGTCCAAAAAGGGTAACTTGTGCTCAGCTCTGAATGTGGGTGAGGGTGGAGATGGGAAGGAAGAGGAATGGGGTTCCAGGTGGGGTGAGAATGTAAGCAAAGACGTGAAGGAAGGGTGGTGATGAGCACAGCATGTTCCCGGAAAGAAAGGATACACTTGACTCGGGAAAAGGAGGCATGTGTTCTGGCTCATTTGGCAGGAAGTAGACACTGGTGACAGTCTAGTCCCCTGCCCACAGCTAACAATACAGCTCAGTCCCAGTTCTTTTCTTACTCAGTCCCCAAAGGTCTCAAAGTCTAATTTGTTGGGGTTTCCCTAAAAGAGCAAACCTGTTTAATATCCTGGTATGAGGTTATAAAAGAGAAGGTAGTCAGATAGCAGAGTGACTCCACACCACTAGACCCTGATGCTCTGGGAAACCTTGAAAATACAACACCGGAGAGCACAGCCGATCCCACCCCCAGAGTTCTTGATCCTCTTAAGTTAGGTTGCAAAGCCAACATCCAAATGAAGCACTTTGTGAGATAATGTTGCCTGTAGCTAACCTGTACCAGGGGAAGGGATTAAGCATTAAACCCACAGTATTCTTTCACAAATTGGCATTAGCACTGGACTGTGACAACAAAGAACAGAACGGTGCAGAACTATCTTTCATGTTTGTGTACTTTGTACAAAACGTTTTTCAAAGGTGTATTGTTCCTAAAGCAAGTACAGTTTTATGATTTAAAACAATGGCAACATTATAGGAATTTTCCTTGGTAGAGACTCTTACCTTGCCTTTATGTACAATGTTTCAAACACCATTAATTTGTTAAAAAAAAAAATCAACTTAGTCATTTCTAATACTGTGAAAGCAGTTAAAGAAAGTTGCTTCCTAAATAGAACACCCCACCTCCTACCATCATCTTTGATGTTTAAATGTTCCCCTTAGTTCAATGTAGTATCTGTTCCTGAAGGGGAAAAAAAAGTTCTCAAACCCTAAGTACATTTATAATAGAAGAAAGAGACTGTGATCACATTTGGGTGTTAATACACTTTGAGGATTTTGAATGTTTGCCGATGGAAGAGACATTGTGTGTAACTACACTCAAGTCAACATGAAAGAGCTTTGCAAATACTTGTGGGCAGTGATTAATTTAAAACTTTACAGGCTGTTTGTTTTTCATATGTGTGCTGCACAGGTCCCACGTTCCTCCAGCGTTCCTACCTCCCATCCTTTCGCACACTTCTCCAGTTATGTTTTGTTATCTTTTGTTGTGACTGTCTGAATAGAAAGCTGATTATTAATGTCATTTAAAAGGTTAGTGTCAGTCTCATATTCTGCAAATAACCTCGATAAGGAGCTAATTACAAACATCATCAGTAGTTAGTAACTCAGTAACATGTTTGTTTTACTCTCATTAGGCAATTCCTAGGATAATTTTTTTTTTTAAAAATCATTGAATACATAGACTCCGTGGAATTATCTTTGTACAGGTTAGAATTTCTAGAATATTATTCCCAGATTTGCACATGGAAAGGTTCATCAATCAAACAATATTTGTTCATCCTATCCCAGTATTAATTGGTCTGTGGCAGACACTGTATTAGATGCTTTATGTACCCAATCTGGTTTAATCTCCACAATAATTGTGTAACAGACAATTTTGCCAGTGAAACAGTGGAGCTTAGGGACAGGAAGTACCTTGCCCCATGTCACAGCCCTGATAAATGGCTCAGTCTACACTCAAACTCAGGTGTGTTGGAACTTGGAAACTGTGGTCTTTTCTCACTGAATTCTCTTAGGATTGAGGCTGACACTTGTAGTAAGGAATAACAGAATATGGAATCTTAAAGAAGTGTCTAGGAGCTCTATCTTTCTATGACTCATGGCACTTGCTTTCTTGAATACTGTTACCATCTTTGAGTTATGTACCTGTCCTGGCTCCCCATATGGACTCTAATTCTCTTAAAGGACAGTGTCTAACTCTCCCAATTCTGTCCTCGGCACTCTGGGTTTTACAAGGCAGACCAGAGGGGCATTCTAGACTAGGTAGTGGTAGTCTGAATAGTGAATAGTGAATAGGCATTTTTACCATCTCCTGGTTCCAAAGCGAGGCTCTGCACATAGTAAGAATCAAGCATATAAGAATTAGAAATTAAAGTATCACTCTTACCTTAGATTTTAGTAGAATTTCTAGGGACACACACCTTTCACATGTAAGAACTAGTGTTTCATTCCTTCAGATACTTTTATCCTCCTGTTTGTGGGTAGCTCTTACTGGCACTTTCCTCAGATGTTTCTGGAAGAGTTGAATCAGTGGGTTTAGAAAACAAGATCAAGGATCAACTCATATTTGAAAGTTAAGAAATAAATGAATGAAGGGGATACATAGGTATTTTCTGTAGGTTCTATGTCACTTCAAGGTAAACAGCTCCAAAACCATAGAAAGGGCAGCGTAAAAAACAGAATAAAATACACTTTTTATTCCAAGGAATTTTATCAAGATAAACCCACTGTCAAGCTTGTGAAGTCAGTAAGCTTTTGTCTCAGGTGCCCTCCACCTGCCCTTTCCAGCACTGCTAACTTTCTTCACTTCTGAACCCTTTTCTCTCCTCATTGTACACCTCAACTTTGCAGATGTTTGTACTGTGTCCTCACTTTGAAGCTAAGGTGGCAACTACAGAATCTTTTCACGGTAGGATGTCAACCTGTATTTTATTAAAGCAAGACAAGGAAGTAAAAACCCATAAAAAATAATAATGGGAGATTGGTGGACAATGGAATTTGCCTTTTGGGTTGGATCTCATTGAATCATTGTACTTGTGTGAATCCCTGTCAGATGTACTCATATAGCAGTTTCAGAATCTGCTATTAGTCACACGTTGTGGTAGACACTAGAGACTTTTTAAATAATAATGAAAAGATAGTCACTTTCCCTACAGATCTTACAATTCTATCAGAATGTGCAGGCTTGCCTTTTATTTGCTGTGGTACTTAAGGGAGATTTTTTTTCCCCAATTTATTTTCTTCCCACTTCCAAGATGGTTTCTAGAGCCTTCCAATTTTAAAGCACAACAGGTAACATTAAATATAGAAAGAGAAGTCAGAACCCATATGGAAAGATAGAAAAGATTGTTACATCAGGAACATTAACCAAGAGTTATGTCTTAAATTTTTCCCTGAGTCAAGAAGAGGAGGCAATAAGTTATATAATTTACATTTTCTAGTAATAGGAAATAGTAGAATTTCATTCAAAGAGACCAGATTTTTCTGGAAGGAATATTGGATTTTTTTTTCTGTGTGTATACCTTATTATAAAGGACTTTCATTAGACACAGTTTTATATAAAATATAGAAAAGTTCTTCAAGTGCCTATTTTTCATTGAACTTCAAGGAAAGTCAAACAAACTTAATGTTCTATTAAGTTATTAAATGTCTTTCTTCGGGTACTAAGTTGGCATGTTGCAGTTACGTTGCTTCTCTGTGATCTGGCTTTAATGAGAATAGAACTTAATAGCTAAGAATACTGGAATTCCAACACCAATAATTAGAATTTCTTACTTAAATTGTACTCTCCATGGTTTTTATTCACATTGTTGCAGTAATCACTTAAGTCCCCCCACGCCTGGACCGTACCTCCTTATTTTGTCTTCCTGTATCCATCCTCAGCAACACTTACCAGAGTCACTTTTATAAAATGTAACTCCAGTGTCACACAATGCATAGAGGTCTTCAGGGTGTCTCCACTGCTTATAGGCTAAAGTACAGACCCTCATGTAACCTCACCTTCCTCTTCCATTGTGCCCTCCTCCAATGTCTGCCATCTCAGTTCTCTGAGGGCGTCACACTTGACTCATGTTGCTTCTGCCTCCTACGGGTGACGGTGTTGGTAACGTGCACTCAGGGCCACGTGGCCCTGGAGTTCCACCAGGAGCAGGACATTAACCCTTTAGGTTTTGGATTGTGAAGGTGTCTTGGGTAAAGGAGAGCTGTCAAGATTGGAGAAACATATGGGGCTTGAGTCAATGGCAGTTGCCAAATGGTAAAGAAGGGTTTCAATAGTTTAAAACTCAACATGGCTGCCTTAGTGGTACATGGGCTGGGCTTCATGATAGTCTACCCCTACCTTCGTTTCTCTGTCCCATCTCCTTGGTAATTCTTAAAGGTAGTTCAGGAGCTATCCATTCTGGGAAGCCTCTCTCATTTTTTCCTTCCTCCATCATGTAACCCTCCATAGCCTAGGTGTGGGTTCCCTCTTACCACCTCTTTTCCTCTTTGGCCCCTCCATCTCTGTTCATGGAGGAGGAGTGTGTCTGATCCATGGCGAGATCCAGGACATAGCTCAGCACCTTGTACGTAGGAGGTACACTGCAAGTGTTTGATGAATGAAATGAGTGAAACCCATGGGAAATTCTGTACCCTGACATGGGAGGAAAAGCTTCCCCAGCAGGTCCTCCTGCTTGCATGAAATCTGCCCATTCTTTAGGGTGCTGGTGGTATTTGTTCACAGATAAGACAACTAACTGGGACAGTAACACCAGAGGCATCTCACTGCTTTTCACTTGGGAAGCTTCACGTTTGGAGGAAGAAATCAGTCCATCAGCTGGAGGAAATAAGATACATTTTAGGAGTTTCTTGGTTTTCTCTAGATGGAATAAAACTTTATTTTGGTAATCTCTGTATAGAGGAAGGGCATAAAACTCATCAGCCACCCACTCACTGTGTGTGTCCCTCAGTCTCACAGGGCAATCAGAGTAATGTACTCCTACTTGTATCCATTCTGTTTACTGTCTTATCTCTGGTGTCTAGAGGAGTACCTGGACTACTTACTTACTTGTGCAGTGAACGTTTTCTGAATGAATAAATTCAAGGAGAAGATGGGAAATGTGCAAAAAATGGGGAGGGAGGAGCCCAAGCCTTCCTTGAAGGATCATGAGCCCTACTTTTTATTTATTGTTATGTCCTTTCTGGAGGCCAGCAGGGACTGAATCCATGTCCAGGTGACTGCTAATAGCCAGCCCCAGCCACCACCCATGGAGATAGGAAACCTGGGTTTCCTTCCCCACTTCCAGGTGGAGGCCGGAGTAGGAGCCAGCCATCAGTTCTTCAAAGGAAAAAGGAACAGGATGTGGTGGCAGCAGTAACTTGAGGGACAATAAAAATTAGACCCAGACACTTGGAACAACACAGGCCCAAGACTTCGTTCCCCATCCAGTGACTCACTCAACCGCACAAGGGCCTGCAGCCAGGCCTGGACTACTTGCACTTGCCCAATTGCTTCCTTCCCTGGCCTTCTTTCAGCAGGAGAGGCAGTGTCCAAGAGAAAGGTGGCTTGGATTGCTTTTAAACATACATTTTGTTTGTTCTTTCAGCTCCACGAAGCGCCTCAAGTCTGTGGAGGATGAGATGGACAGTCCTGGTGAAGAGCCATTTTACACAGGCCAAGGACGCTCCCCGGGAAGTGGCAGTCAGTCCAGCGGATGGCATGAAGTAGAGCCAGGTGAGGGGGTGCCTAGGTCCCATGCTGTGTGAAAGGGAAGAAAGCAAGCCTGAGGCAGTTGACTTTGCCAACATAAACACGTGCTCATTTTGTAATCTGACTGCCACATTCACAGAAGGGTGGCACTGCAAGGCAGAGGTTCAATGGAAATGAAAGACTGGTGATGGTGGCACATGGCTTCTCACAGATTGTCACCTGTACCTACAGTCAGGTGTTCCTTTTGCAGTTGTTTTTGTTTTGTTTGTTTGGCTGATTGAGAAGGGGTTTTCCTATGTTTCCCAGACTAGGCTCAAACTCCTAGGCTCACGTGATCTTGCCTCCACCTCTTGAATAGCTGGGACTACGGTGTTTTTGGTTTTATATTTATATACCTTTTGGTTTAGTTTTGTTGTTGTTGTGTTTTGGGTTTTGTTTTGTTTTGTTTTTTGACTTTTTTTGGAGATTTTAACTCAGCCCCTCACAATTGTTAGAGAGGTTCTCTTTCACTTGAACCATGCCCCCAGACCTTTTTTGCTTTAGTTATTTTTTAGGTAGAGCCTCATGTTTTTGCCTGGAACAAGCCTCAGACCAAGATCCTCCTACCTACAGCCTCCACCATGCCCAGCTTATTTACTGAAATGGGATCTCACTAACTTTTTGCCCAGACTAGCCTCAAACTGCAATCCTCCTGACCTCTGCCTTTCAAGTAACTTGGATAACAGATATAAGCCATGATACCCAGCCTTGGTTTCGCATAATAAGAATCCATCAATTTTTTTCAACTAGATTATGAACACTAGAAAGGAGAATGAGTTCCAAGTTTAACTTGGACTTTTATAAAATGAGGTTACTTTGTAATATTTTTCCTATTACTGGATATCATCCTGGTCAGTTTTTCTTTTAAATACAAACAACCATCTTCAACCCTTCCGTGCTAAACTAAACAAATGAGTGCTGGCCTAACCGCCTGGGTTGTCTAGACTTGGCTCTGGAATCTTGAGAGTGATTTGAGTAATTCTGATAGCAGCAGCTTTTTGAAGCCAGTCAATGTCTGACCTCCATGGGGGCGGGGAGGAATCTTCTCTAGTGCCTTCTTCAACATGACAAACCAAATGGGTAGAGGATAGAGACTGCAGGTTATGGAATCAGCCAGAGGGTCATCGTGGCTTTAGCTCCTGCTAGCTGTGTGATTTTGGGCAAATTACCTAACTTTTCTGAGCCTGTGTTCCCATTTTTATAATCTGACAATATTAATAGCTATTTCATTTCTCTTGAGGATGAAATAAGGTGATATGTATTACCCATCTGAAAAACAAAAAGTCCTCGGATTGTCCCTCTCTATACCTGTCTCAGCAATTACTTCAGCAAACACCAAGCAAACCTTCAAAATAACCTCTTCATCTTCAAATCTTAGGTCCTTTCTCTCCTCCCTAACATTTTTTAAAAGGCACCCATCAAACGGTGTGACTATGAATGGCAGAGAGAGATGTGGGTGATGGAACTGTTCCTTATCCTGACTGTACAGGTGGCAAAATCTCTACACGTTTGACATTCACTGAGGTATAACAACTTCTCCCCAAGAATCACATCAAATCAAAGTACCCTTAGGCCCTACTGACTGGGTCTTTTCTCTTGTTGCCTTTATGAAAACGCACACCTTTCTCTTGGCCTTGCTTCTACCTAGAAGCATCACTTGGCTCATTCATTCACTCATTCCAGTTTTCACTGGGAACTTTTTTTTATGAGATGTAATGCCAGGTTCTGGGAATTCGAGGATGAATGTGGAGGCTGTGGCCCTTGTTTTCATGAATTCACAATTGGGGTGGGAGAGACAGACGCGTAACAGATCAGTGTGCAGTGATATGGGAGGCACGGGGGTCCCAGATGAGTCGGGTGCCTTTTTTCCCGTGTTATTACCCTCACAGCACTCATAGTGCGGGGCTCCACGAGGGTTACACCTCGACTTCACTCCACACAGATTCACGTCAGTTTGCCTAAAGTGGCTAAGAAATAAAGCCAGCCCTAAGTGAGAACGAAAACGCTGACTACCGGCGCTAGGAACCGCATCGTCAGCATGACCTCCATCCGCAGAGTGCCAGTGAAAAGTTTAGGTGCTATTAAACAATTAAAAGATGTAAAACTTCTTGGAACCCGTTGTAGAAGGCTAATTAGTCCTAGCCAATTTACCTGCTTTAGTGGAAATCAGAATCAAATATATAGGTTGAGTACAGCTTGAGTGCTGTACCCAGGCATCTTATGCAAATCATGTTGATGAGCGGGAAGCTTCGCCACCATGAGGCTGTTCCCCAGGCCCTTACATAGGCGTTTTTGGGGTGTGTTTGAGGGCAGTAAAGGTTGGTGGCTTTTTTATTCAGAGTGATTCCTATTCTCATCTCCATGTTATGATTTGAATAAGCATAAATTTTAGCATCTGAGTACCTATATCCTTTAGAGTCATTAAATAACCGAAGTTAATGGCAAAATCCTCTTCAGGTGAAGATATATACACTTTTTCCTTCTTATTGAAGAAATCCCACACAATTATGTTCCCGGACTGATTATCCATTATCCACCCTCATTTCATTAAAGAAAAATGCAGTTTCATGGTATGTTTGTGGTTCTTGGGGGTGGGGGGGGCGGTGCTGTGGATAAACTTACATTTGGCCCCATTCAGCATAGAAAGTCATAATTGAAACAGGGCCTGAGGGGACATTAAAACACAACTGAAGGATGTTGCACATGTTCATGGTGACTTTGGTGTCATTAACTCACACCAGCCATTTTAAATGGATAATTTATGCTGCCAGATGGTCCTTTTTGGGGATTTTCCATCAAGCCCAATCCCCTTTTTGGCACAGAGAACACCTTTATGTTGTTCCCACACTTATCCAGGCCTGCATCGCTTTTCCCCAGGGGTACAGTTAATTGAGTAGGAGGCTTTTAGTGGCTCACTCATGTAAATTACCTTCAGAAATATGTTGGGAATTATGTATATCCAAATGCACACGCAGCCTGTTGGTTGCCCGTGTTTGGGATCCGTCTGTCAAATGTGCTAAGGATTCTGGGTTTCTGCCTCCAGTGTGACACAGGAAGTGAGGCTGTGCTCACTCCTGCTCTGAGAGCTCTGCATCTGGGTACCTGGCCTCACTGCCTTCTCAGGACTCCCTGGCCAAAGGAGGATCAAAAGTGGTCAGAAGAGACACATTTCCTGAAGCAACGGGAAGACTTGGGAACATAAAATAAACCAGACATGCAGTAAATTACATGGGGTCTTTCAAATGGCTTTTGTCGTATCCTGTTCCCCATTAGTTTATCTCAGCACTTTTGGTGCATAGCTCTTATTATCTGCAAAGAAGGGCACAGGAGATTAAAGATGATATTAGTTTAAAAACATCAGACAACCCCAGGCTGACTTTTGCTTCTTTTACAATGCTGTATTTGTTCCCTCCACTTAGTTACATTTCCCAGTTATCTCAGGCTAGATTTGAGGCTTCGAGGCTAATCATGCACTGATGGAGTGAGCCCCATGAAATACTATCCAACAAAAACACACATACCATCAACTCTTGTTTATCTGCACAAATGAAAAATTGCCAGGAAACTGATAATGCAAATAAAATGGGAAGGAAACCAATAGGGAGTCACCTACATTGGGTCACACTGTGTGTGATGCTTTCATACATGTGGTAAAAATTCTAGTTAAAATTGGGTACCTACTGTGCACCAGATTTTTTATTAACTTCCTTTAAAATATGCAAGATTTAATCATTCTTTCTCTCTAGAGATGAAAACTGAGAATCATAAATGGTTCACTGGCTTGTCCAAGCCCACACAGATAGTAAATCTCTGGATCTAGAATCTGTATTTCAAACCAAATCTAACTTCATAGTGCAAGTTTTGTCTTCTATATTTAATAAATATTTTAGCATAAATATTTATGCCTGTATTTTAAGGTTTCATGCCCTGAACTTGCACTTAACTTAAAAACATAATAATAAAAGATAGTCAATAATTCCTCAGAAAGACCTGACAAGTCCCCATTTCCCTTATCCCAAGCCCTTGTCTTACAACCTATGCCAAGACATGAATATGAGCTACTAAATACAAATAGGACACTATAGATAAGCAAAGAGTATTATCAGTTACCAAAGTGAAATATCTATCATTTTTCACCCATAAAATCAAATAATTCTCAGCATTCAGGTCTTTGTTCAAATAAAACCACATCAGAGAGGCCCTGGGTGATCTAAAATAGCTACTGAGTCTCCTTGGTCACCTTCTAATCTATAACACTCTTTCCTTTCTTCACACTCTTGTCTACTGTTATCATCTATTTTACCCTCTAGAAGATACACTTCATAAGAGTGGGACTTAGTCTTTTTCTACCTCTGTATCTCTAGTGCCACAGCAGTGTTTAACACAGCACAGGTATTCGATAAATATTGATTGAATGAATGAACAAAGCCATGAAGCAGAGAGTTTTGGGTGCTCTCAATAAACTTGAAAGCAGAATTTGCTGCCAATAATCCTCTCAGAATTGGTATTTCCTATATTTTTAATCTGTAGGCTTTCAGTCAAATCCAATTATTAGCAAGCAGTAGGAAAAACACTTGCTAAGGCTCAGCCAAGTACTCTATTAATGAATATAGTAGCAAACCGTATTAAAAGTATACCTTAAAGGCTATTCCTTGAAGTGAATGAAAAAAAAATTTTAAGGTTATTCCATACAGAGTACAATAGTTATCAGGCACGGGGGAGGGAAGGGAGCAGTATGGAGGAGAGATTGGTCGGTGGGTACAAAAATCACAGTAAGATAGGAGAAATACATTCTATTTCACATTAGGGTGACTACAGTTAACAATATTACATTGTATATTTTTAAATAACTAAATGAGAATTTTAAATGTTCTTGCCCAAAGAAATGCTAATGGTCTGAGCTGATGGATCTGCTTGCCTCCTTCCCTAACTTGGCCATTGAACAATATGTACAGGTGTCAAAATGTCACACCACACCCCATAAA